GTTTTTCAAGGTGCCAGACATTACATGACAGCATGGGGCTGATCAGGGGCAGTGCTGAGGGCCCCTGGCAGAGCCTGGACCATCCTCCCCTCTTCTGACTTCCCAGGAGCTCAGATTCTACTGGCTGAGCCCTGCACTCACAGCCTCTTCAGGGAGCTTATAAATAATGACTTAGAAGAGAAATGATTTAAGATTACAAAACTTTTTCAAGATCAAGTCAAGGTGCCAGCATATTCAAAAGCTGTCAGATATGTCAGGGCAGGTACTTTGTGAGGGATGTGCTTTGTATCTTCGATGTGACAAACATACTGCAGTAAATTCACAGATGTGCACTTGCTGCTGCCTTTTCCAAAGCCCTGCCATCAAGCCATCACCTTTAGATCAGTCACACTGAGAGTGAAGAGACACAAAAAGGATCTTTTGCTAGAAATGCTTTTGCCAGTTTACTGGACTCTTTGCAATGGCAGTGATGTGCAGCAGGGCCCACAGATCTGGGATAGCAGATGTATTTTATAGCACAGTTGGGTTTGAAACTTTTCATGTTAGCATCTCCCTCTTTTAGAAGTCTTTCTGGGACCTCATTTTTATTATGGATCATTTTCTGCCATAGACTGAACAGTCTGTTCTTCAAAGAATCCCATAGACGAGAAACTGAGGCAGAGAGACTAATTGGATTTTCTAGAGATATAGAAGTCAGCAGTAGTGCAAGGACATGAATAGTGCAAGGAGTGTCCTAATCACTGAACTGTCCTCGTCTCCCTGTATAATGCAGAATACATGGAATATCCATCTTTTAATGGATAGCTTTTTGGAATACATATATTTTCAAAAGGCTGATGTTAGATTAATGATGAATCTTACAAAATGAAGTAGGAAAGACATTAATTTTGATGTGGTAGGTAAGCACTTTCCTAATGAGGTAGTAATTTAAAAGTATAGTTATTTAAAAAAAAGGTAAATCTAGTGCTCTCTAGACCTCCTATCTCAGCAGTTCTAGCAGCAGTTCTGAGTAACCAAAAGGAATGTTTCTGACAAGCATGAAGTACCACCAGAAAAATATAAAAGGAAAAATGTGTCATAAGAATCATAAAAATATTAAATAATGTCAAAGAAATGAAATCAATTTCCGGAAAAGAATAATAAAGGCTGAGAAAAGGTACCCAGAAAGCCAGATGACTTTTTATCTTCTTAATTGGGGTAATTATACTAAAACTGACAGCAAGTATTTCCCCAATAGCAAAAAACACCCACAAACCCCAGCCAGTCAGAATACCGCTCTGAGCATAAGATCTGTGAAGGTTAAAGGCTTGAGTCAGCCATTAGGAGGGTGCTCCTCTTCTCCCAAGGTCAGTCCTTACATATGGAGAAGTAATTTTGATTTTGGTCTCTTCACAGTTCAAAGTCAATGCTTACCTTGATTTCAACCGTGCTATATTTGGCAAAGTATTAATATACTTGTATTTGGTCTCAGTCATGTTCTGTTTGAATGTTAAACTCCTCTTATACCAAACCATTTTGTACTCCCTCTTGTAGTTTAGGCAATGTCTAAAATAGAGAGCAGTGTGGACCCTCTGGACCAATCTCTCCAGAGAAACCAGTGGTGCCAATACCCACAAAGCACATGTTTCGGGGGTTTTAATTCACACCAGCTTCTGTCTGGAAACCTACTGTCATAGACTGAAGTTTTCATAGTGCACAAAGACCTCCTGGAGCACATCTTTGGTTGTAGTTTCATCCAAAAAGGACGCGGTTCATGCTGTCCCAGGCTGCATCATAGCCCGAGCCAAACACAGCACATAGGCACACAGAGATGACCTCTAACAAATCACACTGTGCATCAGCCCACGTATAAACTCTCAACTACTGATGCCTCTTTGCTGATCCTTTATGTTCATCATGTTTCAGCCACCAGCTTCTCTGTCCGTATTTCGCTGCATCACACTGAGGACCTTCTCCCTCAGTTAAGTGGGGAATTAAGTGTTCCTTAGTGGGACAGAAATGATCTGGCAGTTCAATTAGTGTTGGTAGTGTTTAAATTTGAAACCACCCAGTATTTCCTTACTAATAAACACAACTTGCAAAGAGGAAAAAAGTGATTGTACAACCTCAGAACAGAGATCATGAAGCCTAAGGACCCCCACTTTTCCCATTAGCCAGTAATGGGTGCCTGAGAAAGACTTTAATAACAAGGCAAGGATGTAGTGGTACTTCCCCAGAATAGTTTTTGAGCTTCCAAAAAATTCACAACTCAAGGATTTCTTAAGCCAGAGGCTTTGTCTTTGTATCTAATAGCCTTTGATATGTTTTCTTTCTTTGTGAATTATTCATGTACTTTTTAGATTTATGTTAATTTTAGGATCTAGTGTTCTGCAAGAAAGAGTTTGACACTAACTTCATGCTGCAGTTTGTGTTACTTAAGAAAAAAAGACAGGGGTTCAGATGCTGTCTGAACCCCCATGCTGCCTCTGCTCACAGTAATCCTAGAAATAGGATTGCCCAGTGCATGTGGTGCAAGGTCACCATACCAAAGTTAAGAGTGCCAGCAGCTGCAGTGCATGTGCAAAGCCACCCCAGCTGGGGCTCTGCACCACTCCTGTGAGTTTGTGTTGATTTGAACAGGAAACCATGGGACGTAGAGAAATATATTATACAGAAGGGCTTGGGTGTGACCATATTTCTATGGGAACTGGAGTGTTGAATTAAGAATGTTCAACTCTTGTGGGAACCAGCCAGAAAGAACTTTACTCTCCCCTCAAATCCTTGCATTCCAGGCCTGGGGTTTTTATCAGACTATATTTGTAATCCCAGTTGATTTCTCAAATAAACGGTGAAATGCAAACAGTTGGCCAGAGGGAAAACCTCCATTTACTGAAGGGGAAAAGAACACAATATCCAAATGACTCATGGCTCTGTGGGTGAAGTAATAGCTGCGTGTTATATCTTGGGATGTGGGTTTGTGGTCTGATGCTGCATGGAGTGGATGTGCTTGGGTTGTGACGTTATTGTAAATGGCTTTGGTAGGAATTCTCCTGTGACTTCCCAGACACAAGTTGCTTGTTAAGATATGATTGACTGCACAGTTGCAATTAATAAGATAGGGAGGCAGCCAGGTGCAGCCAAGCCCTCCTCTGGACACTAGCTGGGGGTAAATATGACAAACCCTTCTGCTGCTAGAAGAGGTAGGTCCTGCAGGAGTTGCAGGTGGCTGTATCTGAAGGAATTGTGTTCCAGGGAGTTTCCAAGGGTTGGAAGGAAACCTGAAGAGGGGCAGCAGGAACCAGTATCCCTGGGAGGCACCTGGTGCCTCTGAAACTTTGCTCTCCTGGGGCAGGTTATCCCAAGACCCGGTGAATGAGCATGCTCTGATGTTTGATGCAGTACCACTCTGCCTGGTGCCCCCTGCTCCCACTGACTCTTGTCTGCTGTGGGTTCCCTACAGTTACTGACTCCCTTGTTCTTTTTTCCCCCTGAATTCCTTGGTTACAATAAGATAAAACACATAAATGCTAATGCAAGTGTAAGTGCAAAGGCCAGTGGCACCTCTGCAGAGCCCCACTTCTGCCTTACCACTAGTCACTTGCACCTGCTCTGATTCCACCACTCCTAAGAAGTTGCCAGCAGTTACTCACTGTCCTATATATGAACAACTTGCAGATATGACAAAATACAGGTTGTTTTGCCTGGATTCTTTGTTTTTCCTCTCAGTTTCTCCATTGCAAGACTTCCTCACCTCTCCCAGTCCTTTCCATCCTTTCAGAACTCTGGTTGCTGCTCCATGACTGCGCAGCACTGGAGCTTGGAGGAACTGCAGGTCAGGGCTCCCCTCTGGTGATATGAGCTGGAGAGGACATGTGACAACAGAGGTGGTGGCCTGTTCTCAGGGTGCCATCACCACTCAGTATATACACTGCACGGGATCTAGTGGTTTTGCTCCGTGAGTTAGTGGAGGGAGGAATGAGGGTCCACTAAAGGACCAAACCAAATCCCTCCTTATAGGCAGGAGCTCTAGGAGAGCATTCTTTTCCTACATCTGACCAGTGCTTTCTACAGCAGAGATGGTTTATAGCTTGGGAGACAACAGCAGGACATTGCCTGAACCCAGATGTTGGCAGATCAGTAGGCATTGGGAAATCAGCCAACCTTTCTCAGTTTTCTGGGACACTCTGGTTTGCCCATGTGATTAAAATTTGCAGTAGATAAACACAGATACATAGAATTTATCCAAACAACCAGATGTTTACCCATGGCTGGAAGACCAAGGAAGCTTCTTTGTTTGTGGTTGCAGCTGTGCTGGGAGTAAGGTCTCATCCCACATTTGAGGAATCTTCTTTTTTTAAGCAGTTCAGAGGCTAGGGTTGCTGCTTGGGAAATGGCTGTTTTCTCCCTGCAGGCAGATCGATACATTTCAGCTCACTGCACTGCAAGTAACTTTTCATCGTACATTAAGAATGAGGAAAATAAAAGCCAAGATGGATGTTATTTTGGTTTTGCTTTTATTTTGAATTATTTATTAGGAAGTCACTGCTGCCTTCTCGTCAGGAGACAAAATGCCTTTGTCTTTGGTGATTTCCTATTGAAAAGAAACAAGGTCTTTCTAGTTTTATTTCTCTTACTCGCTTCTTGGTACTGAAGTGTAAATTTGGGGTCTCCACAATGTGACAAGATGGTCTCCTGCAGTCTCAGTGCAGGCAAAACCCCCACTGATGCCAGTGGAGTCACACCTTGTCAATACACTTCTAACCAGTTTTACAACGACACTGCAGATGAGTTATGTGTGTTAGGAATGATTACTGTCACTTAAGCAGAGGGTGTTGTGGAGGGTTATAAGTACACTACAGGCTAGCTGAACTATGATTTTAATTAAGCATTTACTAAATAGCTAGTAAAACTATCAACCCCATGTGTCACTGGGCAAAAATTCGGCAACTGGCTCCACTACTCATATGAGTTTGGAAACTCAAACTAACAACCCATTTTGATGTTTTTGTTCCTAAATCTAGGTTATCCTGAAGGGGACGATAAAGAAACTGGCCACCAAGATGGTAATCACTAGTGGAAATGAAGAAGATAAAGGGAGTCAAGAAAAGGAAAGCAAAGAAGAAACCATCTTGGCAATGCTTGGAATTATTGGGACAATTCTGAACCTCATTGTGATCATTTTTGTGTATATTTACACAACGTTGTAAACTAGAAGGCATGCAAATAGACCAGATAAAATGGCCATTAAGAATGACAACAAACATTGCTGACTATTGACAAGTTCTTTAATCAGAATTGACTCTGTATTATATTAACACATCATAAAAGCACTGCCTGCAGGCAGCGAAGACTGAAGCACAATTAATTTAACAAGACTTTTTCACACAGTAATAAGCTTAACTCTTCTATCCTGCCCTCTCCCTTTCGGTTTGGTTTTCAGTTTGGGGGAGAATGACTGCAGTTATGTAAGCTGTAGCTTTGAAGAAATCCACCAGGGATATGTTGTTTTAACACAATTTAAAAAAAAAAAAAAAAAGAAAAAATAGAAAGAAAAAAAAGAAAATAAAGAAACTGTACACTATATATAATTAGAAATGTTTGCTGTATACCCGCAAAGACTGAACTCAGAGATAGCTTCATAGCACAGATCACGTGTCTGTTAGGTCAAATGGTTTTTTTCTCTTGGTTTTTGCTTTTACTTACATTGGATCTGACAAGCCTTTTATTTAGAATGAACATATGGTGCAATCATGAAAAAAACAATTCCATTGAGCAAGGTCTGCCTAAACCTGATAAAATGTTGGGAGAAATACATTACATGGTTATTTTTCCTTTCTCTTTTGCTTAACATCTGTGTCTGTTCATACCAATGTTTATAAATATATATTTTTAATAAATGTGCTATATTTTTAGCATGAACCAAACATTTGGAGACACTTGTATTCATGCAGCTAAATTTTGTTTGATGAAGTGCCCCTTTTGACAATGGATGTTGTTTTTCTCAGCAATTATACAGCAGTCTTGTTTGCAGCCCTCTCACTTGGTCTGAAGCAAGCTCACATCATGCTCATATGCATGACTTGAAGTTGGAATGTCAGCTGAAAAGCATTGCTGCTTAATACGGGAAATAGCAAAACATTGTAAGGTGACCTTTGGAGACTGGTTGCAGAAAGAAGGCTCTACTTAAAAAAAGAAAAAGCAAATGAAAGGAATATTGAGGAGTCTCAGAAAATATTACGAAATTCATAGAATTTATGGCTTTCAAAATCTGGTCACGTTCTCTAAGTACTTATGCTGAGAGAAGCCAGTAGAGGTTTCTACAGTTGAAAAGAGAAATTTAGAGAGCCTATAGTAAGGGGTTTAAGGGAAATCCAGACTGTAAATACAGAGTTGTATTTTAAATGTGAGGATCATTAACTCTTTTTGCTTTTCTGACATGTGCTTTAACTGAGGTTGGTGCAGTGAAATTCTCTGACTTGTGTTTTTGACAGGAATGTGCAATGATGATGCTCAACATTTTTCTTCAGAGTTCAGTACTTATAAATATACAAAGCATTAAAATTATGAGACCTCAATTCTGCCTCAAGCTGCCTAAGTACATTGCCCATTAACTCTGACATATCTTCTTAAAAAATAGGTCAATTAATTGTTTACTGACTTGTGGTTTGGATTGCATCCTCAGATGCACAAGGAGGATTACTGTTGAAGTCAGCTGGAGCTGTAAAATGTTTGATCCTAAAGTATCATTGATTTTAGTGATCAGTCATGTCCCTCAGGAATCAGTAATAAGTTTTCCAGCAGTTTCAAGGGGCTAGGAATGGTCTCAAAAATACAGAATTTCATTGCAGGATATAAAAGCAAGCTTGGAAAACCCTGAGGGGCACCTCTTATAAAGAGAGGTGTTCAGTCTGTTGTGGTATCATACGTTCAATAACAAAGCCATTAGGAGAAGGGAAAAGGTCAGTAAATCCAGTATGAGGACTGAAGGGAAAAAAGAGCAGAAATAATCTCATGTTAATGAAAGCATGACATGATGAGAGAGGTGAAAAAATGAGCAGAGATTGAAAACAGGGAATGGTGCAGAAAGACAGTGGCATGCATACCAGCATAGCTGAGGAAGTATTTGTGTTTCTACGGTGCTGGTAGAGCTGCAGATCTCAGAGAGGGCAAGAAACAGTAGTGGCACCATTTAGTGCAGCTGAGTGAGGGTGATCTTGGTTTTGAACTTATAGTTATTTATTGATAATTCTAAGGAAATAGCTCACTCTGATCATCCTGATAGCTAAAATATATTTTCCTCTACTTGGCATTTTTTCTTCTGTTTAAACCACTGCTGTGCACAGCCTGTGGCAATGGTGTTGGCGCTCATGCCCCAGAGCACACCTGCACATGCTCCAGGCACCTGTCTATCTCCAGCCTGCCTCTTGCCTGGCAGGATCCTCTCTGCAGATATTCCTCTTGAACCTCTCCTCCTCCTCCAGTAAACACTGCAGCAATCTGCCTGAGGCTCGTACTCATCTTCTAGAGGGGAAGCCTGGAAAGGGCAGTGTCTGAGTCAAGAGATGAGCTCTCATGCCAGATATTTCTTTGCCTCTCTCTGCATCAAATGATGACCTGTCATCCTCTTGTGGGCTTGAAGATGCTTAATGAATCAAATTTCATTAAGAGCTTCTATTAATATTACAAATTAAAGCTCTGCATTGTAAAACAATACAGAACACCTCACCCACCAAAGTAAAGTAGGAAGTTTTGCCGCTCATCACAGTTGCACTCATTCAGACATGGGCTAGAACCTTCACCAAGACTCGCACTGCAAAGAGCCCAAATAAACTGAACTGGAGGATAAAAAGCCTAAGGACTTCATATTTACTCTGTTTTATTTAGCATACTAGTCTTGATGCAGGCAGCATGTTCACACTTCACCAGCAGCAGTCACATGCTCTGTGCTTTGCCATGTGACTTTTATTCCTCTGAAAGAGGAAGGAAGGTTTATCCCATTCTATAAAAAGTTTAACACTTAATATTTTAATTTTACAGGTTTCTGTTCACAGATAGTTCTAGAAATATCCTGGGGCAAGTTCTTAAGTAGATTCATTAAGTATTCGGTTAAATAAAAATGAGGAGTTTCCTTCAAGGGCAATTTCTTTACCTTTTATTTGGTATTCATGAACACTGATATGGGACAAGTATGTTTTCAAGAATGACTGTGGAAGAGGAATATTTTATACAAAGATCTGAAGGTGTGCCTACCCAGGCAGCTGTGGACAGGCCTGTTCTTGGCTGAGTGCCAGCTGAAGCCAAATTACCCTCATGTTTTTTTTATGTGAGCAGTTTTCAGCATACACCTATAAGAAATATTCAACAAGGTAACATATATATCATGGATACATTACAGTCGGTAACTGCTGTATAAACAGATGAATAAAACTTGTCATTACAGGTGCTGAATGGTAAATCTGCTTTGGCAAGGAAAAATCCGGTAGTTTCATTTTTGGCTTGATTTGTAGGTGATGCAAATAGTTTCCAAAAAAAAAAATTTTAATATAAAATATTAGTCCATTAGTGGTGACAGGAACGTCCATGTTTGCATTTGAGTAGAAGGAAATTAATATCCAATATCTTAATAAGATATTAAAGCATCACCTTTTGCTTCAGTCAACTAAGAATATGATTGTATTTTTAAATTATCCTATTTAGTTTTTGATGGTTTGTATTATGGGAATGAAAAATATTTTCCCGAGGTGACAGGAAGGTGACATTCTCCTTGCTAGTGTCTGGTGTGTTGGTTGGTGTGTACAGAAGACTCTTAAGAAGGAAGAAGATGAAAATATTTAAATCATGTTATGCATGCAACAAAGTGAGGAGAAAGCAGACATACAGGCTTCTGCTGTCTTCTCTGATTCCTACAACTGCTACTGAAAACAACATCTCAGGAACCACATCTTCATGCAGGAATGTACCATCCTGTGTGCTGGCTGTCAGGGCAGTCCTTTCAGTCATTTACCTTCTGCTCCTTCCACCTGCACCTCTGTAGCAGTGCACAGCTCATTGTGCCTTAGGAGAGTTTTAACATGTACCCAGCCTGGCAGCCTCTGGAAGCAGCTGTTTGGGTTCATTGTGGTGCAAAGGTCTACTATGGGGCTGAGTTTTATTATTTTAAGGACAGTCAGTAATCACCATCTTGTTACTGTCTGATAATCTAGGAGATACTTTAGTTGAATTCCCAGACCCATCCCTCCCCTGTCCCACAGGTAAAATTTTGATTCAACAGGCATCCAAATACAAAAGAAAGCTTCAGTTACATGATGACGAAACTTTAGTATGAAGCTTTTTTTAAATCCATGTTTCCTGTATTTCCATATATTATATTAATCTGTATCCTGGAGCTCACTCCAAATGCCCCGAGGTCTCATCTGTGTCAGAAAGTCTCATTGCTTCTGAGTCAGAGTTAACATTTCAGTGTGAATTATGGCACACACAGAGCCCAGAGTGGGCAACAGGGACAAAAATTAACTGAATTAAAACTCCAGGGAGGTAACACTGCAGAAATTACTAATTAGTTTGAGGCTTGGCTGGAGTACTTTGTTTCTATATAGCCAAGATTTTGGAGAAAAAATGTTATTGTTCCTTAGAAGTTTTCTGGAATATGTCTCATTCAAAGAAAGAACCTCATTGAAAATGTTTTAGCAGCAATCTTCCAAGAAAAACACTGACCAGGCCTCTGAGTGTCTGGCTTCCTTCCCAAGAGTAGTGTTTGGCAACTCTGCAACACTGCACATACATGTAAGCACCTCTTGTTTACAGAGAGGCTTTGTCTTGTTTGGAACAGAATGCACGGGTTTACAAAGACTTACAAATTTATGGAATAGTACTTTACACAATCAACAACAACAAAAGGTGCTGTTCACTTTTATTTCCAGCAGATATGCCAGATATGCTGCAGACACCCTGCAGAACCTGTACTGATTCCATGCCTGGCTGTGTGTTTTGGAGGCTCCTCCCAAAGGGTCTTATAGACTCAGCGAAGGTTTTCTTCCCCACCATTGATCCAAGAGAAACAAAACCTGTTCAGCGTGGAACCTTCCCCGCCAGGCTGAAATCCCACATGCATCCATATGCCTTTATCTACATATGAACCATCTGGTGTCCAATAAGACTTTCCTTGCCTTAAGCATTAGGTTTGCTTACTTGCATTTCACCTGGGGACTCAGATGCTGAAGGCAATTTGTAGGGCTGAAAACCCTGTTTCAAATGAAACAACTTTACATAATGTAGCCATTTCCTGGAGAGGTGCCTGTTCCTCCTGAAACACGCCTGTGCAGTGCCCTGGGCATGGCACACAGCACACCACCCTCCGTGTGTGGTCTCACACTGACAGAGCATCATGACAGTGAGGGAGTCGCTCTGGGCTGCAGCTGGCCCATACTGCAGGATTTTGTACAAAAGCCTGGATCCCAAGTAAGCTCTGTAGAGTGAAAGGAAAAGGACATCCTGCCTTGTTCATAGGAGGTGCTTAGCTATGCTCACCAGGATCCTTTCTTCCGCAACCAGTCCAAATTCAGGTGAAGGTGATCCTTGCACCACTCTGACCCGCTTGTGGCAGTTGCAGAGCTTCCTTCCACCTGAGTGAAGTAAACAGCTTTGGGCTTCCCTAGTCTCCTAGAATAAGGGACAAAGTCCTTCTTACGCAGCAGAAATAGCAGCAGGAGCATCCATTTCCTGATGACAATGACAACATCACCTGCCTGGAGCACTGATGGGAACCTTTTTTCTCCCCATCATCCCGCATAGTCTGGGAAATGCAAGTTAGTTGCCTGGACTCCAGCTTCTCCACAGGCTCAGTCACTGTTCAGGAAGACTTGTTTTGTGATGCTGAGACCTTGCTATGCTCAAACAGCTCCTAGAGCCAAGTTTTCAGGAACAT